TGTCGTATCATCGGACTGGCCACTTTTCTCACCATTTTCTTGCGTCCTGTCCGCCATTACGTGATCTGTGCGGACTCTTTATCTGAGAAGGCATAATTTGGAGAAAAGAAACTTTGACAACATTTGTGATGGAAGGCCTTCCGAGTGTAGCCTGACTGACGACAAAGTGATGATGCCCTTGCCTACCTCCTCCTCTTCGCTCGCCCAACGGCTCAACGGCCGTTAGGAGTCACAAATCTCGAAGGCGTGTAAACAAATTTTATGCACATACCTCTACCTTAAAAAATAAAAAACAATCAATGATCCTTGGAAATATGCGAGGGACTGGAAAAACTGGGTCGCCTTTAAGCGGAATGAATTCGAAAAATATGGGACACCTGAAGAATCAGTTTCGTATTGCAAAACACAAGCGATGCGTATGCAAATGTATGACTGAGGGGCACAAATGCATTGTAATAATTCCATATTCATATATAGTACGCAGTCTATGTCACCTCATGATGAGCTTTCATTGAGTTTTATGATTATCTTTGTAACATCCCAGCTCATGTCGTGCGTCGGAAAGGCTACTTCCACGACGAACGAACGAAGCCTTATGACCGGGCTCATACTTCTACCGAGCCAAGCCATCCTATTTTTGATTCCTTTCAAAACTTTAAAAACTCCATCCACCTTCCCGTGACATTCTCTGTCATTTTCTTGAAGTATACCTCTATTTGCTTACCTTGCTCCCTTACTAACTTTGTGCCAGATAAAGCTTTTCAAGGGCCTTCTGTGATGCTGACACTGTGCACCATACATCATAAGAAAAACATGTCAGGCAATTTTGTAAATTACTAGATACATTATAGTCTCTTTTGGCGTTCTTCTCCTTAGATACTTTTGCACTTACGAGTACCACATTCAGCTTAAGGTTATGTGGACCTATTGTTTAGGCTGATGTAGGCCCAATAGATGACAGCAAGCTTGAGTGGACTCAATAAGCATCGGCAATGTTTGCGGGTATGAGTTGATGGACAAACCAGATGTTGATTACTTATAATTATTATTTCTGCATGGTGTGGTGTACTTAACGGAAAGACGTCAGCGACAACCTATCTAATATGCTCAATCATACACGTGAATGCCAGTGCACACAACTTGCCTCACGATACTCTCAAGCCATCACATCATGACGCCTTTCTCCTTTTACAGACGCATCTAATGTCAAATGGTTAACAAGAAAACAATTTACTAAAGCAACGGATTTACTTCTTGGGTTAAGAAAAAGGATTAGTAGACAATTGTTCCCTTCTTGCACGGGCATTCAGAAATCGACGTCGATTGCACTATTTTTGCAAAATCCCATCTGGACGAGGGCTTCTTCAAGTACTAGAGCCCAGTGTGTCCAATGTATGCAACCTTGTGAAAAAACTGTGAAGGGTTCTCGCAGAGGCCCATCCGCACTAAGCTCCAATGTACTCCCATCCACAAATGTCCCTACCGCAAAGACCACTTCATCACCGTAACCTGGCGATACGCCCGCTGTAGGCCGAATGTAAGCCCCAATCGGACTCAACCGCTGCACCTGGTGACAAAATTGTAAAACTCGGTCACGACTACCGACTTGCACGGCTTGAATGATATCAGTCCGATAGGTGCCGGGGGCAGGGTTGCACGGTAGTCCGAATCCGCTGCCCATCACCTCTGCGAGAAGCATTGCTCCTTTCAAAGACTCTCCTACTACTGATGGCGCCATAAAAAGACCCTGAAGAAGCCAACGGTTCTGGCCAAGTGTCGCACCCCCTTCCACACCTGGCGCGCTTAGCCGCTTGAAAGCTGCGTCGACGTAATGTTTTTTGCCAATAATGTACCCGCCTGTAGGGGCTAGCGTGCCCCCGGGGTTCTACAATGACGATAGATGTGCTATGTAAGTTTTTGAGTGCAAGATTCCTATCGTTTGATCATCGCATGTAAAGGGCCGTTAAATGAAGGCATGCATTTTGAATCACATCTTTTTAGCTAAAGTATACGGACATCTTCGCATTTGAAACCTCTTTCTATTCGTCGCAAAATTGATGACCCCTGTCGCACCTTTATCAAAGAACCCGCTATAATATCTGCACCCACATGAGTAGGCTCCAAATCTTCAACAAATTCCCCATAGCAATTATCGACAAAAACGATGAGCTCTCGATCCGGAAAAACAGCTCGAATATGGGCAATGACGTTACCGATTTCGGCGACAGGAATTGATGGCCGCCACTGATATCCACACGAGCGCTGGATGTGCAGAACTCGGATATTGACATCGGCGTCTATTTGTCGATCTATCTCAGAGAGATTGAAGTACTGGCCGGGAGCTACGGATGGTAGAAGGTCAACCTGATCGTACGCCACACCCCACTCTTCCAGACTTCCCGTAAGAAATCGCTGATTTGGAATAGAATTATCATCTTCATCCTTATGAGTTTCTCGTGTGCCGATCACCTCCTCCAACGTATCATACGGCTGTCCACTTAAACCCAGCATTTTATCCCCTGGCCGGAGGACACCGAATAGAGCGCATGAAATGGCATGGGTCCCGCTAAAGATCTGCACACGGACGAGGGCGGCCTCCGCTCCAAAAAGCTGCGCGTAAATCTCTTCCAAACTGTCCCGACCGACATCTCCATGTCCATACCCATCGATGCCATTGAACATGTGTGTCCCAACCTGCTGCTTCCGGAAAGACTTGAGCACACGCTTCAAGATACGTTGAGTACGGCTATCAACGTCGTCAAATGCAGGCCTCAACCGTGCACGCGCCTCCTCTACGATTTCTTTAGCCGATGCATCATTATCTAAAACAGTAGACGATCCCTGCCGCATTATAAATTGAAGGGCATGCGCTCCTCGCTCTTTTACTCGTAGGCCCATACCATGCAGAGCAGGTGAAGGGAAACCGTATGAAGAGGAGAAGAAACTTCTTCGGAAAAGGGGTACAGGCATGTAAGCCACGCAAGTGATAAAACATGCTAATAGAAGTACAATTGATGCTATCTTATTTTCGCATGAAAACATCTGTTCCTGCAGGATGTATGAGTTGTTTAGGAAATACTGAGTCGCAGTTGCCTTCAAGTCGCAAGGTTCACCCGAGAGAGATAATCTTACAATCGAATACTACGTTTTACATAATCTGCAAGATGCACATGAAGAATGTGAATTAAAAAATGCTGGAAAAGGATCAAGCTATCTATCAAGCACCATTCGTCTCTGAAGCTTGGGACGCGTATAATTAAAGTTCCCGCAACAGCTAGGATTAGGAGGCAGATTGGAAATGACTGAAGTTCTCGCAGTGCACGGTGCTTTGAACGTACGTTGGATAAAATATGTCTATATCCATTCAGCTTTGCACAACAGTATATCGCGCGAAAACTGTTAAAAATGACAGTGACACAAAATCAGGAGGGTAATTTGATGGCCAACAGTCGAGTCTACCTGCTCTGGCAGAGGCGACAGCGGGCCGGGCGGGAGCTTGGCAGGCCGGCTAAAAGCTTCTTCTTTGAAGAGGACGAAACTCACACATCATATGTACATGTTGCGTACCATTACTATGATAAATACAAACAGGCGATGTTCGATGTCACTGGTCTCGAGGTCGTGATTTTGATAGGAGCGGCTTCCTTTCTTCTTGGTAAGGACCTCGTGTGTTTCTACTCCCATCTTTGTCCTTTTGACTCTTCACATTTTACGCTTTTTCCAGGGAAAAAGGAGGTCCCTCAGCTAGCGCGGATAGTAGGACGAGGGACAGGAAAGCTAGTGGCTTTGTTGAACACAGCACGGGAGCAATTCGTTGATGCCACGCAGAATACGCACCTTTCGAAGGCAGGTCATATGAAAGAGGGGAGATGACATATAAGCACAGCCATTTAACCACAGTGCGTTGCACATGATTTCAACAGCTTACTGATGAAGTTCGACAGAACATGAATGAGCTTAATTCAATCCGCTCGGAAGTACGGGCGGCAGGTTTGCGGCCAAGCCGACGTATGCCTACGTCAGAAGCCGTAAGCAAGCTCACCAGTCCCCTTCAGCCGGAAAAGGAGATGAGCAGCTTTCCAAAGCCTTCCGCTTCGTCATGCGGTAAGCAAGAAGGCAGCTCTTTTTTTTTAGGAAAGAGCTCGGGCAGTAAATTCTCGAAGATTGACCTTGACAAAAAGAGAAAGCTCGGTGAGCTTGCGATCGCAGAGCTCTTGTTGCAGGTATGATGTGAGCGATGTCACCATTTGTGTCTTTCCCCGGGATATGCATGATGTGTGGGAATTTACCTGGCAAAAATATTTTTCATCCTATTCTCTGCTGGATAAGAAAAAATCGACTTGCTGTGGTGTTAGTTTAAATTTTTCTACATAATTCGTTCTCGACCTGTACAGGAATCAGTGCTGGGAAAAGAGGGAGGGACGTTGTGTAGAAGTCAAAAGAAGCTTGTCGTAAGTCCACATGCAAAGGCTGGCTCCGCTGTCTTGGATGACGTCATTTTCGAGAATTTGCTGTGGAACCAGATGGACCACACTCTTAAGATAAATGAGGGAGGAAAAGTACCCGACGTACCACCACAAAAAGACTGTGCGACTTAATTTGTATCGAATTTAGCACATTTGAAGCACGTAAATTAAACAAATGAGTTGATGCAAATTGGCATGTCGGCAGAATTCAACAGCAAAGCTTTCTCGTGTGCTGGTTGTTTGGGTAGGTAACGATGTTCTCATTTTATGTGCGTTTCCATTTACTTAAACTCTCCATGAGACAACTCAATGTGAAGTGTACACCAACACTTAGCGTGTGCAGAATAAAACATGCTCCAGCTTGCACTAGGCGATAGTATCGTTTAAATGGGGCAAGGGCTGGAGGAGGAGAAGTCATAGTGGCGACGTTTATGCCGGTGTAAATTCCCCATGGCAGCAGCAGCCACCAATGATAGGCTGACAACAGGAGAAAGGAAAAATAATTCCAGCTCCAACTCCGGTAAAGCGGCCGATGGACCTTGCTTATGGCGAATATGGGAGCTGACACGAGTAGTAAGTGCTGCAAGTGGAAGAAGAGTACCTCCAATGGCGTAGCGGGGTAATTTGGGAAACAGAAAGCCAGAGATGGTCCCCATGTGAGCAAACTCAAAGCATGGAAACAAATAAACGAAGAATAACATGGAACAACAGTACATACGAAGTATAAAACCGTCGTGACATGGCAGGGTTGCAGAAAATAGGCAGGATGCGATGGTAGCTTTTTGACGTCGAGTTTAAGCGGAACCTGAAGAACGAACGTCATAAGTAAGGCGTAGCTCCATAGGACTTGAAGTTTGGTAGGCGTGTATGTTATTCTCAAGGCCCGCACTTGCTTCTCCATGTTCTTCCATGCAGACAGTAGTAAAGGGCCGAATAACAAGACAGAGATAACTATTTCGACAGCGTGTTGGAAAGGCGAGGAATGCCAGCGACTGAGGTATTCGTCTCCCTCGGGGTCTCTAGAATCGAAAGAAAGTTCCGAATTCAGACTCTCCAAGAGATTTGCCAATAATCGTACGAGAGGAAAGGTATGCATCGTTGTCTGTCGCGGGAAACGAGCCTGTGGGAGCCGATGAGAAGTGAGAAGACATGGGCCTGGATCAGAGGGGTTGCTTAAGATGCACCTGGCAGGGCTGTGACGTAAAAGGAACCGCTTGTTCACAAGATAACAACGAGAATACGACAAACGATGCCGATAAGAGTGGAACGGGGCATAACATGGCAATGAGGGTGTGCACGATCGACACTAGGATCGTGAGATGACCCGTCAACATCAGTCGCACGCGCAAGGGGCGGGCACGATAAGTTCCCATCCGAGCATCGCTGGCGACGCCAAGGAATCCTGGGGGCACCAGGACGGCGGCCAGCCAGCCATCCGGCCGAGGTATGCCTATTACCAGTTCATGACGGCTTTTGTGGACACTCGACCCACAGTGCATACGGGGAATGTGAGGTGAAGAACAATCTTGGCACTGGTGAGAGGTTCCCCTCCTACCCAACGTCAACCTCACACGACACGACCCCGCCTGGCCTTCTCCAGTCCGCGGCCCACCACACGTGTGGGTAACCCCGTGCGAGTCTTTTTCGGAGCGCTTGAGTGCGAGCATTCACGTGACGATCTGATATCCACCCTTTTTGAAGAGCATCACGCAGGACTATCGCGATGGGCAAGGGGAAAAAGCGTCAACAACTGCCCCTGGCAGAGGAGGTGAGATGGTATCCAGCTTCCATCAAAAGAAAATTTCTAAGTCACGCGTCCACAGGCCCGTCCCTATCATGCCTCACATTTAATTTGTATTTACATGCAGCTCGATGAAGCTTCTAAGGAAAAGCGCATATTAGAAAGTAAGAGAAAACGAATGATACGGCGACGCGCAGAGGGTCAAGGAGATGATGGGGAGGAGTTGCTTTCACATCACAAAATGGCATCGGACAGAGCGGCGGGAGAAAAATCATCGACATTTCTCGATCCTAAATTATCGCAAAAGATTCTAAAAGTGGCATCCCGACAGGCAGCTGAAGAGGAGCGGAATTTTGTGTTGGCGCAAGACGACCAAGTGCACACAGGCGAAGGCAGCGCGCACGTTCACTCCGTCGCACAGAGTAGTCGGGGAAAGACGAGTGTTCAAAAACAAGAAGATTCATCGGAGAGCGATGAGGAGGACATGAAAGAGGTAGGCGGTAACTTACTCTCATGGGATGAGGAAGGAAGCATGGAATACGAAGAAGATGGAGACGGAACTGTCGAGGTCAGGGACGGGGCGGTCTACAGTCTCGATAGAGGGGGCTTATCGGAGATAGAGCACCGAGTTGTATCCTCCTTCATGGATGTTGGCGCAGGGGAACGTCGGACATTGGCCGATATCATTTTGGACAAGATTCATGCAAAAGCAGAAGACGGGGCGGCATCTGGGTTGCAGGGACAGGCGGCCGACGGGGACGAACCGTTGGTTACAACCATTTCACCAAAGGTACAAGAGGTTTATTCTGAAATTGGGCGGCTGCTAAAAACTTACACGGCCGGGAAGCTGCCGAAGGCTTTCAAAATTTTGCCTGCTTTAAGTAATTGGGAGGAAGTGATGTATCTGACACGGCCTGACGAATGGACACCGCACGCCACGTATGCGGCTACCCGTATATTCGCCTCAAATCTCAATGCGAAACTTTCGCAACGCTTTTTCAATCTGGTTCTTCTGGAGAAGTGTCGCGATGATATTCTCAGCAACAAAAACCTAAACTACCATTACTACATGGGTAAGTTTTCGACAGCAAGCAGTGGGCTAGATGGGAATGCTTATTTAGGCCGGGAAACGGTGTAGGAAAGAATTTTGGGTACTTTGTTGAGCCTAAATATAGCCAATTTTGCCTCCAACACCTCTTTGTTATGACATCTACGCATCTTTCGGTGCACAGCCCTAAAAAAGGCCATGTACAAGCCGGGCGCTTTTTTTAAAGGGATCTTGCTGCCGCTCATTCAGTCTGGAGATTGCACTGTCCGCGAGGCCACCATCGTCGGAAGCGTGCTTGGTAAAGTCTCTATCCCTGTGAGTCACGCTGCGGTTGTACTCCTCAAGCTAGCCACCGCTAGGGACTACTCGGCCTCTTGCTCTATTTTTTTAAAGGCACTGCTGAACAAGAAGTATACCTTGCCCTACCGAGTGATTGACTCGCTGGTAGAGTACTTTGTTTCGTTCGCAGAGTATGAGGGTCACAGCCTAACGGCGAGCACTGGCGCACCGATCCAAGGCGCGGACCCTGTGTTACCTGTCTTGTGGCATCAGTCTTTGCTGCTCTTTGCACAGCGGTATAAGGAGGAGATCACACGGGAGGATAAAGAGCGTTTGCGAGAGGTTATGAAGGCACATCAGCACCATCAAATTACACCAGAAATACGTCGGGAGTTGTTTAATTGTCGCTGTCGAGGCGAGAAAGATGAAAGCGATGCCTTATTGAAAAGCATGCTTCTGGAATAGAATTGAAAGTTGTCTGCAAAATGTAAAAGAGAAAGCTATGATTTGAGCACATTAGCCCAAAGGACAAGGATAATATTGAAGCTCGGAAAGAAGTCATCTTGTTGTAGATTTGAGTAAACCTTATCATGAGAACAATAATTATTTCGCTCACCCTATTCTCTCAGTCCATTCATCATTCTGCGCATGTATATATCATCGTCTTTCCTCAAATTTTATCGCAAAGGAGGCGCTGATCATATTTTGGGAAGTCATGAAGTGTCTTTTCAGAACCGCTACCACCTGATGCTATCAGTAGTTTACTCGTGATGCATGAAAATGGGAGGGAGCTCCTACATGTATTCAGAGATGTAACTCGATCCGTATCCTGCCCGGGTATGTCTCGCTACGCCCTAACACGTTTTTTCACCCCTCTTACGCGGCTTCCACTCACTTTTTCTCCCATGTCGAACCACTTGCCGCGCATGGTCTCTCTGGCACCCCTATGAACTTCCAATTTTTGTAGAATCCGACTACAACAAACTTGAGGTCAACCTATCTTGCCGCAATCAATCAAGGTTTGGTCTTGACGGTCACGTCACCAGAAGCTCGCGTGCAGCATGCCAGTCTAATGTCATCCCCTTTCTTGCCACCCAAAGCTTTGACCTCGACTGGGGACTTAGGGCTGTAGTTGAGAGATGGGAAGATCAAATTGGGGTTGGACGCTCAGCATAAACACTCGATTAATTATGAATTTTGAGGAACCTGCGCAAAAATGCTTGAAATCTCATCAGGTTACACCAGTTCCCGATACATACGAAAGAGTTATTTCATTTTCGACAAGGAGAGAGGATCGGGGGAGAAAGAGATGCGCAATAGAGGTCTCAACTGGGACTGCTTGGAAAGCGTCAAAAGAGGATGCTGTACATGGTGGGGAAAACAACAGGACAGGTTCCATTAAGTTCAATACATCTACATATCACGTACTTCAAATTCTTGGCGCCCTTTATAATTTGGATGGCGCATGTTCCACACTGTCCTCCTCCACCACAATTATAAATCTTGCCCTGCAAAGGATAGATGTCAATCTTGTTCTTCATAAGCTCCTTGCGTAAATTCACAGGAGCGCCAGCTTCCACCTCGAGTTCTGCATTTTTGTAAAATTTTTGTTGTACCGTAACAGTGAAAGTTTTCTTGTTCCCACCAGCGGACTTCTTGCCGAACATGCCCAACATTGTCATGACGCCCACCCTCCGACTTTGTTTGTGGGTGGTCAAGAGGACGGGGACAAAAAAGGCAACCGTCGTGGTTATCATGACCATAGTAATTGTGAAGCGCAAGATCCCCCTCATGATTGAATGGGCTGTGAAAAATGCTTGGAGCGCCTGAATGCGGTTGATGTGGTAGAGACAGATCAGTCCGTGGGTAACTCATCATGACGGCAACAGGTGAACATATAATCACACTTTCCACAGTACACGAATGTTTGTGAGTCATATCAGGCCAAGGTTGTTTCAATCTGTGCAAGAACCAACTGTACGGATTTTCCCCCGGACCTATGACACGTCAACAGCATGGTACGCATTCGGGAATGCCTCTCTTCCAGACACTCGGTTTCTCGGCTGCCGATCTTGCCCCTCTAGAGTCCGACCCCGCTGGCGTCACTCTTTTCGCCAAGACGCCTTGGCAACGAGTGTCATACCACCCATCTTCACAATTCTATCATTATCATTGCCCTTTCGAGGAACAGCTTCGAATGATTTTCACATGGTAGCACTAATTTTATAATACGTATCCTGTCGATAGTTACTATGCTGTCCGTAACATAGTGAAATTCTGAAAGTCTACAAGAGTGAGGCGGAAGGCAAGCCATTGTAACAAACGGCATTTCTGTCGCGAGGACCTCTTAATAAAAATATATGATGACACGCGATAAGGATGTAGCACAAAACTCATCCACTGTATACAAGTACGGTGCGGTAGAAGTGCCCAAAGATGCACTCTTTCATGGGGACCAGGCCAATCCCGCGGACGTCAGTTCTCCTCTTGCTGATTCTTTGAAGCCATCCTCTGCGTCAACAATGCCCATGTACGACCAAAAACGCACATTGTATCGCAATTTAATCCTATCGCGGCATCTTAGCTCTGCACTCCTTCAACGTATGTGGGAGTTTTCTGTGATCATGCTCCTCACAGTCATAGGACCTTCGAATTCATTTCACCTGATCGCCACATATGGCATCACGGTAAATTTAACGGTCGTACTTTTCTCCCCATCGATTGGCTCATATATTGATGAAGCAAATCGTCTAAGAGCCGTTGTGCTTGTGACCTCGATGCAAAATACCTGCGTCGTGGGATGTTGCATTTGCTTTATCATTGCGCTTTGGGGTCACATTGCAACGGGGTGGGCGTTATCTCTCTGCGTGGGCTTGATACATGTTGGCGGAGCCCTCAACATGCTTTTTCAGGGGCTGAGCAATGTTATACTAGAGCGCGACTGGGTTGTTGTTCTTGCAGAGGACGATGATGCCTGGTTGCGGTCCATCACCACAAACCTGAAAGCCATCGACTTATCTTCGAACGTCGTTGCACCTTTTCTCGTCTCTGTCATCCA